GGTGGCTGAAATTTTCAGCCAAGTTTTCCTAGAAATTTCGCCCACACGAAATTGCTATTTTCGAGTATTATTTGGGTAACACAGTAGAAGACCGTGGAACGTTCGAGGATTACGATTGTGCGGGTGATGGAGATTCCATTGAGAAGTTATGGAACTGAAGGCTCACGTGGTAGAAGAGATATGTTCACGCTTCAAGAAGTAACCCGTGAAATCCCGTTTATGCTAGTTGTCTAAATTACATGTGATTTTGATACTGGGATTGCTTTCGCTGCATATAATAATCCATCACAGATATCATACTTTATGACATTAAGGGATTGGAACCGTCCCGATTCCCTGCGTTCCTATCTAAAGTATTGGAACTCAGTAGTTGTCTCTCTGTTGCTTCGTGATGTGTTTTCTGGAAATATTCTTTTTCTCCACTCTCTATCTTTTGTTTTCTGCCTTCCATTTAGCTAAGGACTTTTTATTTTGGAGAATGAGACACAGAAATTAAGTATTACATGCCAACGATAGGGGAATTTTCTCCCGTTAAACTTTCACTCTAGTTGTTGTGATATATCATAATATATACTTCTAACACACTCATTAATCCAGAAGTTTAATTTAAAGAAAACAAGGGTCTAGAAGGACAGCCGAAAAGTAAAAAGCACTTACCAGTTCATGAAGTGTTCCCAGACTAGTTGGGGTAGGGGGAGAGTGGGCTTGACAATATATCATACGCAGCCTTCCCATCGTTCTCATTGAATAATACGGCATCATGGGAAGAGGTAAAAACGGTCATTTAGTGTTATATTCACTTTTAGAGTGGAGGTAGATTTGAGATTGGAAAGGACGACATGTATTTTTCCTGTCAACGAGGTTCATGAGAAGTATTGATTGTTTGCTATCCCTTCTACTACCCCTTGCAACCTTCACTCTAAATTTCTTCTGATGAACTTTCTTGCTCTCTTTCATTTTGAAACATTCTGCTTTTACCTCAGGGAGTTGGAATTTTACTATCAGGACTGTTTGGCACTGGGAATGGATCTTCTGTATCTGTGTAAGTCCAGACAAAAACCTTCTGCAGCTCGATAGTCTCTCATACACTAGTTGACTAAGCCCTCACTTTTCCCATTTGTACATGCAGTGAGAATGCTGGTCTTTTAGCACTGACACGTGTTGGCAGTAGAAGAGTTGTTCAGATATCAGCTGGGTTCATGATTTTCTTCTCAATTCTCGGTAAATCACTTCTCTAACAGTTTTATCAAAAAAATCTTGTGGATTATCTTGACATTTGTTCCCCCCACGCTCTAAGGATTTGTCTTGACAACACTATATCATCAGGGAAATTTGGAGCAGTCTTTGCTTCAATTCCAGCACCCATTGTAGGTGCTTTGTATTGCCTTTTCTTTGCTTATGTAGGTACGTATACATGTAAGGCAAGCACTTGCGCACTGACAAAATCTTTCATGTTATTCATAGTTTGTGAATTGTGAATGTTCATTCTTTGCAGGCGCCGGAGGCTTAGGCTTCCTTCAGTTCTGCAATCTTAATAGCTTCCGCACCAAGTTTATATTAGGGTTCTCTGTCTTCCTGGGTTTGTCCATCCCACAGTACTTCAATGAGTATACTGCCGTTGCTGGTTATGGACCTGTTCACACACATGCAAGATGGGTATGGCAACATGTCTTTAACATTTGATGTATGTTGCATTCTAGTCATGTAGTAAGAGCTTTCGCGGTTTGTTATTGTTCAGTTCAACGACATGGTCAATGTGCCCTTTCAATCGAAAGCTTTTGTGGCGGGTGTTGTGGCTTATTTCCTGGACAACACGATGCACAAAAAGGATGGCCAGACACGAAAGGACAGAGGCAAGCACTGGTGGGACAAGTTCAAGTCCTTCAAGACTGACACAAGAAGTGAGGAATTCTACTCCCTCCCTTTCAATCTAAACAAGTATTTCCCATCTGTGTGACTGGTAACAGCATAGAGGCAGAAGATTTCATACTTCATACTTCCACTTGCTGACCCTTGAAATCTGTGTTGGGGGGACTTGCTGCTGCAGCACCAATTTTCTTTCAGATGTACCCTCTTAGAAGTATAGATAGTCCAACCATTTTGAAGAAGCTTAGGACAACAGTTTTTAGTCAAGTATTTCTCATTGTTGTAAATTTATGGCTATATGGATTTAACTAGCAATGGTTGCTTCTTTCAAACTCTTGTCTTGATGGGTGCAGCAAAACCCCCAGTATAATAGGAGAAAGGAATCTTTTGAATACAAGGGGAAAAGAATTTGTTACAGTAACTGGCGATTTCTTTTTGATAATATATCTGTTAGCTAGAGAACATCATAACTGACAAGTACAAACAACAAAACACTAGATGAATTTTTTTACTTAGATGAAAAAGGAAGATTGTATCGGACATACTATTAGGAAGAGATTATGTAGCCAATTAAATGATGGTGCTGGTACACTGGTACTGAAGGGCAGAGAAGGAAATTGGACCACTATGAAATATGTCCTTTGTTGGATTTGAAGACAGGAAAACCATACACAGAATTGGACAGGCACTTCCATATTTTTTTGTTGTCCTTTACTTGGGTTGAAAGAGGAACCAAATTCCGACCACCAACCAGTGTCAGATATTATATATATATATATATATATATATATACACACACACAATCTTAACACTATAAGAGTTTTTACACTCTCAACGTTCATTTAATATGTTGTAGTAGGGTTACTAAACTCTACCTATGGCATGCAATTACATATAATTATTTTCCAGATGATTTGATAATGTATAAGTTTTTTTTTCATGAGTGTGTCTTGTCCAAGTCCTTACCTTTTTTCTTTTGGGTATGTAAATCACAAAATATTTAGTCAAACATAGTGTTTCCCCTTGCATTGTGGGAGCTTAGTGCATCGGGCTGCTCTTTTTAGTGTTTCCCCTCGTGGTTTGTGTGGAAGCTACGGTTAAGGGTGTACTGTGGGCTGGGCCTAGCCAGGGACCGGCCCGGGCCCGCGTGCCAAATGGGCCGGTTCAAATTTTCAGCCGTTTGGAACTTTAAAAAATAACCATTTGGTCCCCAAACTTTATTTTAACCCCAAACTTTTTATAATTATATTTTTTCCCTATTCTCAACTATAAATACCCCCTCATTCTTTCATTTTTACTCACAAATTTTCAATCTCTCTCTAATTTTCTTCTATAATTGCTTACTTTATTAGTGCAATTTCGTGAAAAATTGTGAAGTTGGTGAATTTTAGTATTCAAGTCTTCAACGATATTCAATTTTCAAGAAGTTGTTTGTCAATTCGGTAAACTCGTTCCAACTCTTAAGTTTTAATATTATAGTATTGTTTGTTTTATTTAGGATAATTATAATTAATATAGACTTTTCTTTGAAAAAAATATTTGGTGGTAAGGGTAAGGGAAAATCTAAAATTGGTGAATCTAGTCGCCAAGCTACTACTCTTCCCCCGGTTCCCCGACCCAGGCCTGTTACCTGTCCTCCTTCACCTATTATTCTTGATAATGATAACCCTTGTTTTTAATTTTCCGATAGTCAATTTTGCCATGATGTTGTACCAGGTCAACAATTAAATGAAGAAGTTATGAATGCTCTTTATCCTAATCAAACTATCTTTGAAAATGATGAGAAAAATGATGAAACGCAACCGGATTTAGATGATACACCTACTAGTCCTGTTAATAACCCAACTGATGTCTCGCCTGACCCTCCTATAGTAACCCCTACTTTTAATAGAAAACCTTCTAAATGGCCCGAAACATCTCTTGTTTGGCACTTTTTACTCAACTAAGAGAACAAAATAAGGTTAAGTGTAAAACTTGTGGGTCTTTGATGGCTCATAGACTAATATGTAACTTGTATTTTCCACCACAACCAACGAAAATTCCTCCGGACCTTGAAGGATTTATGAGATTTGTTAGAGATAATATATATACTAATATGTAACTTGCATTTTGGCACATCTTACTTAGTTTTTTTTTTCTTTTAATGGTGGTATTAGTACCTTGTTGTGCTCATTCCATTGGGGGGATGAAG